AAGAAAAAAAATCAAAGAAACACAAACCACCCATTTTAAGAGAAGAGTGGTGGAAGAATACTAAAATAAGAAACACAAACGAATACATAAGGTATAAGAAGAAATAAAACACATACAAGACTAAAGTACTTGCTCTAATTCTTTCATAGTAACCTAAAGTCATTGGGAAAGGTGCCAAAAATATGGTGAGATATCAAGTTATAATCAAACTCAATGCCTTTAACTCTACTTTGTCTACCAAGTCAATTATACCTTAGTTAAATGATATAGTATAGTGGCTTCAAGGTCGTATTCCTCAGGTGCTTTAGGTCTACTACTGCTCTCGACCTCAAACTACTATCTAGTCAATTAAGTGGAAAGGTCTGAATGTGAACTATACTAATCTAACTAGAAAAAAACAAATAATGACAACTAACTATAACATGATAAAACATCAATAGATATAAAGAATAAGTCACAATCAAGGTCTACATACAAACTGAAACCAAATCTAAGAGCTAAAGTTAATATCACAATTAAGGTCTATATATAAACTGAAATCAAATCTAAGAACTAAAGCTAATATCCTAAGCAACTAAAGAAGGTAGACATAAAGAGAGCGTGTATAAAGAGAAAGAAGAAGACACACATATTAGTAGATCCATTTTCTCTACCTTGATTTGGCCACCCTTCTTGAATCTTCGATGAGTTTTGGGGTTGGATTGATGAATATTCCTTCAAAAAACCTTTCAAATCATGCCTCTCTCGACATCTTCACCACACTTTTTCATCCCTCTAGGATGACTTCTTTGTGAAAAATATGCTCCAAATAGTTATACCCGCGTGGACGGGAAATATCACCGTCGGAGATCATAGTCGTAATCTTTGATTTGGTCGTGTTCTTTGATGAAGGGAAAGATCACGATCATGATCTTTGCTTCCAGCTATGATCTCCAAGACTACGTCCAACAGTCTCCAAGTTCACGACCAACACTTTGGTCGTGCTGTATCCCTCTGTTACCGTGATTTCTGTTGTTTCCTCTTCTTTGCAAGCCTCAAATAACCACTGAAACACATTACCAATTAGCTACACATAGTACAACATCAAGCTAAAAATTCCAAAATATGATGATTATAGAATTCAAACAACTAAAATAATATGGTCCAAAATATGCATAATTACGTGTAATCGATTTAGGGATACTGACAAAGTTTGTAACTTTTTCACATAGTTTTGTACCAATAAAACCCATGATTAGTTTAACAACTATGGCCCTTTACCAAATCTGCCCAAATTATTTTGGGTTCTCCCCACTATTCTAGTCTTGGAATTTTTTTTTTTTTTGAAGAATAGAAAATCCATAGAAAAAGGGAGGGGGCGGAAGGAGGTAGAAATGGAACATCATATAATTGGCACAACCCACCACCATACATGAAAAGGACACGCTTCCACCGACACATATGCCTTGCCTAGTTGGCACTTTCAAGGAAGAAAAAGAAAAAAAACTATCGATGTTGGCTTAGGTAAAGAGCAAAATTCATGAACATTGAACCATCCATTCCATAATATATATTATTGAATTGATTGATGAGGCCTAACCTCCAATTTCACCAATTATTGTTCATTAGGCTCGAGACAAAATTTCCCATTCTCACATCACCATTATCATTATATATATGCTGCCTCATTAATATTTATAAATAATTATAAAATATTTGAAACCCTCCAATAATACTAATTATAATGCAAATACGTACCAAATATTAATACGAAAGAGATCTCCCATCCTTCCAACTTGAGATCTTCACTGCCGGCCGGAGTCATTGCATTTGTACACACACCATACAATTTCGATGACAATAACATAATATCATGTATCCCCCCAACCACCTAATATCCTGTGGGCTATGCTAATGCCATGCATGCAGAAGAAGAAATTTCTGCCGTGGGGTACATGGAATTACTGCTATACGAGGCATAATTGAACGTTTCTCAACAATTCGAGTTATTGGAAGTAATTGGTTTTTGACATGGTATATGTGAGAGGCGCTTTTGTGATCGAGTGGCGTTTCTGTTGGAATTCCAATGACTTCTATTTATCAAGCACACGATATTTGGACATATGCAAATTTCAAAACCCGTATATGATGGCTTTCATTTGACGCGATGGGGGTGTTGGTAAGTGGTATCTGATATTCATAATTGAACATTTCCACCCCCAACAACTTGAATTGTTCGGGAACAATTGGTTTTCTTTACACCCTTCCTCAAATCAAACTCTCGGACCAGCGCCATATGTCAATTGATAGTGAACCATACCGAAGAAGTTAACGATATAATATTTTGTACTAAAATCGCGCTTGAATAGTTTCGTACCTTTAAAAATGACTTCCCATTCGAATCCTGATATCTGGTATTTCCTATCCGACCGTTTTCAGTTCCTAACGGGTGGGCTTCGATATTATTTTACCCTATAGATTGGTTGGTTCCAATAAGAATTACGGTTTGATAGTACATGCTTCAAATACTGTCGGCAGGGGCAGGCACCACTTGCTGCAAACCCTAGTCAATACTTAAATGCAATCATGCAGTGAGTCTCTTTTCCAAAAGAAAATTCAAAGATCATATATAGAAGAGGTTGAGAGCAAAAACAAACCAGGAATTGGTAAAGAAAAGGATTTTGGGTCCAGTGGCCTGGTTGCAATTTTATGCTAGTCTTTCTTTATGGGCCGACAGGCAATATATAGAAAGAATGATGAGAGGAAGAATCCAATCACCGATTATATAATATGGAGGCAGTATTAGTAGTAGGAGAACAAAATAATCAAAAGGATCCAATGGAAGCTGTTGGCGCCATCTCCTTTTTCCCCTCGCGCCAATTTCCTGCCGGCTTCCCCAAGTTCAGTTTTGTTGGCTAATTTAATTCTTCATTAAATTCCAAATCTTATTAGTTATTAACCCCAGTCGTAAATCTTAGTGGTTACGCATTGGATTTTGCTACGGTGACATGTATGTCACCGTGATATGGACTTTTCGGTCGACCTAATCCACAAGGCGGTCGATTGAATTGACAAATTCAGTTATGTGAGGTTCAGAGACGCGGTCGACCATCTACATAAAATGGTCGACCTCTTTGGTGGTATAACAGAATGAAAGGTCAACTCAAATACCTCATAGGCCGACCATTGTGCACCTATCAGGTCGACCTCATTAGTAAGAGGTCGACCGCATGCACACCGTATCCGCATTGGATAAGGATTCCAACAGCAAAAAGGTTCTACAATTGGACAAGAAAACGAATTGGGTTGACCCATTCACGTCCTAAATCTCTATAAATACGAATATAAGTCCCCTTCAACGCCACCAAAAGTCTGAATTAGTTTTTTTTTTTCCGATTTAGAGCCTTTGTGAAGAAGATTGTTCGCGGTTGCTGTTATACGTGTCGAAAGTGGTCGACCACGTCTAAGGTGAGGTCGACCTAATTTAGCATTCGCCGTCATTTTCTCTAATGCGTGATTTCCACCGAAAATAACAACTTAAACTAAGTGCGGTCGACCACGTGGTCATTGAGGTCGACCGCAATGTTTTCTCGTGCTGCCCAAATTAGTCAATTCGGTCGACCGCCTTCAGGATTAGGTCGACCGAAAAATCCATGTCACATTGACATGCATGTCATAGTAGGCATACCCTTAAGCATTATACATTGACTTAATTATTTATCGTATTATATATATATATTTCACTACCTGTTGTGAGCGCTGAAGTTATTTTGGGTTTCAATTCAAGCAAAGATTACCACACGTTTTATAATTTATTGCCCACCGCGATCAAATTGACATGTTTTCCTTTTTAAGCAATTAATTGAATTTTGGAGATGGAGCAGGCAAGCAATTGCTGAGATTAGCCTGTCCCATATGATACACGACAATAATATAAAGACGGTGAGATGTAGCCATGTCAACTACATACAATATACGAAGAAAATAAGCCAACCAACTTAAACATTTTTATAATTATCAAAATTAAACACATAAACAAATGAAATAAACACACTAATAAGGGGAGAGCAAATGGTCGCCGTATCGTGCCAAATCATGAGCAAATGGTTCGCCGATGGTAGGATATCACATTCCTTAGCTTGTTCTTTGTACTATTGTTATTTTGTTTATGCTTGAGGTTTCATGGTGTTGTGCAGTCTCACCATAGTAATTAGACCATTTTATAACAATCATTAAATGGTAATATGGAGTCTTATCATAGTGTAGATTTACAAGGGAACATCCGTTTTGATATTTTTTTTAACAAAAAGATTAGCAAAAAAATTTAGGTCATCTTACTATAATCATGATATGACAATGGTAGAATGGTATTGTGCAATTTTATCATAATGATATGACATGAATATGACCATTGGCGGACCCATGTGGTAGAGAGGTGTGTCAAGCGACACACCTCCGCACGAATATTTTGTGAGAGACCCATATTTTGTCGGTGTAATTTTTTGGAATTAAGGATTTTCGACACACCTTGAATAATTGTTATCGACACACCTTTAATATATTACGATGAAATTGGTGTCATAAAGTTTCTAAAATCCGTAAATATATGCTATTTATTTTAAATTTTAGTTAACTTATGACAAATTTGGGGTTCTTTCCATTGCTTAAGCATTTAGATGCAAGCACTACAAAAAAATGGGTCTATGGCAAGGGTTTTTTCTACCTATAGCAAGGGTTTTAACCCCTGCTACAAGTTGTAGCAAGGGTTTCGCCAACCCCTGCATGAACCCTCGCCCATGCTGCCCCTGCTACGTGTAGCAAGGGTTTTTAACAACCCACGGTGAAAGTCCCGTCCAAGGGTTATAGCAGGGGTTTCAAACCCCTGCTACATGTATTAAGGGTTTAAACCCCTGCTACAATTCAATATAAAATTCAATAGTAAGATGTTTGTATCAGGGGTTAAGCCCCCTGCTAAGTTCGTTGTTCTAACTAGCAAGGGTTAAAACCCTTGCTTAATTTGTCTCTAAATCAATTGCAACCAACTCAGAATCGTCACTAAAGAGAGGCTGATAATTTTTTTGAACAAACTCAAAACTGTCACTAAAACCCCATGAAAATTGGTGACTATAACTTGGTTGCAAATACTCTTCTCACTATAGATAAATCCATAACCAAGCTTTTTCTTGCAAAATTTTGTACAAAAATCATTCTTGGGTAGCCAAATCATACAGTACACTATATCCATGATTCAATACATCATATGATAGAATGATGTCTATGTTATGGGGCTCTCTTTCAGTAACTCTCTTGCCTTCAATCCATCATGAGCTGTAGCAACTGCTCGAACAGAAATCTAAATAGGCCTGCACGTTAAGATTGGAGTAGGTAAACTAAGCTGGAAGTCTTACAAGCTTCGAATTAATAGGCATGAAATATTAATGAGAATGAGAGCACAGAATCAGGTAAATAACAAACCATCATTTTCAGAACATAGTCATATGAGTGTCTTTGCTTCCCCTGCTGTATATCAAAAGAAGAGAACCATGGAGTCAAACCTCAAAATGATTGTACTTAGAAGATTGTGCTCGATCATTGCAGTTAGAAGGTAAATAACAAACCTTACATTAGTGTATAGTTTGCTTGCACTTAGAAGATTGTGCTCGATCATTGCACGATCAAGGACCGGGCAGTTGTCCAGCAACAGTGCTTTCTGTTGAAGTACAACCAATAATAAATAAGCACATTGCTAATGAATGCAAGACCTGCCAAGTTGAAAAGTTCATCATCACTAACCTGATGTGGCTTCAGTTATTCAAAAAATGCATTGATTTCGGGTTTCCTCCGGATCCTTTCCAAGTACACCTGAAAGTACAACAAGGGATTGGTCATAGCAGGTTTAAGGCATTGTTCGGAGATGGTTCAGTGAAAAGATTTCAAGAAGAGGATGGGGCACTGAATCAGTAAACAGAGGCAGCCACTAGTGCCAAGTAAACACTAAGTTACTGCAGAGAGAGAAAGAGAGAGACAGAGGACCTTTTGTATACAAGAGAAGGGAAGTAAAGACACTCATATGACTATGTTCTGAAAATTTTACCTCAATACCCAATTAGAAATGGCCAAAGGTACTTGAACTAAACAATGTTAAGCAATGCTGTCTTTGAAATTACCTTCTCAATCTTTCCCAAATCAAGATGTTCCTGCAATTATTCTTGAACTACAACCCAACTCTAGTTGACAGGAAGTCATCCCTGCATTAAGATTTAAGTAATGTTAGTATTATTGTTATCATATAAAAGGAGAGAGAACATCATGAGGACTAGGACTTAAGTCAACCATACTCACAAGCACCATAACTCGACCTACAAGAGCTCACCTCTTAAAGACGACTTGAGTAAATAAAAAAGATCACTAGCATAACCCATATGCTCCTTCTGCTTAGCATGTTCTTCAGGTGGCATTGGCCCCTTCTTCACATTTGTTTGGTCACAACATGGTGCCCATCCCATTTCTCTGCATAAACCATAACAAGAAGCTAAGCTAGCTAGCAGGAAAGACAATGAAAGAAATGTACTTTAACATAGATATATTTATGTTATAACTCTTCATCACACAAATTAGGGAGCGGCCAGTAGAGTTTGATGCTAAATGACAACTTCATGTCAACAATACATGATCTGATTTGGTTCAATATCAAGTTGAAATGTTATGAACTACATTTGTCTTTTCTCAGCGTGCTTATAAAAGATCCAAAAAGAAAGCCGAGACTCAATTGAAGCATGAAAATCAGGACTTGGTCAAGATTTAGAAATTCACCTATGGATATTGATGAACACTTGCACCTTGGTTGTACTAGGAATCTGCCGCTCCTGCTGTGAGAATGATATGCTTTAAGAAATCAATTTTGCTCGTTGTTTAGAATTTATGCTCTCTGACTTAAGCTAATGAGAATTTCTTAGAACTAGACTACATTGACAGTGACAGGATATGCTTTAGAGGGCATGATTAATACATACCTGATACCAAGTTGGTAGCTCAAAACCATCGATGAAGAATCATAGTCAACTGTACCTTATGAACAAGATGAAGCTTCCAGCTCATGGGTCAGTACTATTAATTACCTAAATTCTTTGTATGCTACTGCTTCTTACACAAGAAATAAAATAGAAAAGAAATGTCATGGCAGTACACCAGAAAGGATTTGCGTATAGTACCTGTATATCAATGACCAGAACAAAATGAAGCTTCTTCCCAGCTGCTGTATGTAATGGTAAAGGTATCGTCAGTGGTGGCATGCCTCTGTTTTAGTTGGTTTATTCTGCTGCTTGACTGATGAAGGTTAAAAAATGTTCAAACATACGGAAGAGTAAACTCTGGACATATGAATTATCAACCATGAATGGTTCCTACCATGTGGAACTCAACATATGTTGGAATGCTAATAACTAAAACAAAATTAAGTTACCTATCACTGATGATTCTCAATATACATCTGGGGAACAAACCACACTGCACCAAAAATAAAACAATCAAATTCTCCACCCACATCGCTAAAGGGGTCTGGTTTTGGCAAGGAGGTGAAGAGTACCACCCAAGGGCATGAGCTGATTTTATAGATTCAATGATCTTTGGTTGCAATGGAGTCTAAGTAAAGCACTGTGCAATGTCCTCAGCTGTTTTCCCTAGCGAATTGACCTCCATCATCATCCTATCCTATGACAAAGAACTGAATAGTTCAGGACAAGGAAATGGCTAACAGTAGCAGTATAAAATGACTAATCTATCAAGTAGCAGACGAAGCAGGGAGATGAGTACCGGCAAAGTAAAAGGATCATGAAAAGAAATGTCCAGTAATTTTGGAGTCAATCAGACAATAGGCATTTTGTACTCTACAAAAGGAGTTACCATTTCCTGCTGATCTTGCATCTCATCCGCTACCTTCTTTCCTGTACACACAACAAATTTGACCATCACCAACCACCAACATAAATCCCACCGAATCCTCTGCTTTAGTAGATACATAAAAAAAACTATAAAATACAACTTACACTTAAGCAAGCAAAAACCAGAACATAATGTAAAACCCTAGAATGTATAAGGGATCAAGTAGATAGCAAGGAAAGCATTAACGGAGACGAGCAGTGAGTGAATTTTTATTTGATTCGGGCTTGGAAGGGGAGGAGACGAAGAAGCAGAGCATCGTCCCTTTGTTGGTTGTCGTCGACGTCGACCACCAGAGTCAAAAAGACATCGGAGAGCCGATCCATGTTACTTCGTCTTCTGCTGCTTCGAATTTCTAGCTTCTGCTCTCACATGGAATGAATGTTCTATCTACCACAACAAGAAGTACTGATTCCAATCAAAATATGAGAGAGAGAGAGAGAGAGAGAGAGAGAGAGAGAGAGAGAGATAGAGAGAGTGATAGTGAATAACCTAATTGAGAGAATTAAAATTGATTTCAATCGGAGATTGCAATCTCTATCGAATTTCACGAACAGCTACCAGTGAGTTCATTAACCGCCTGTCGAATCAGCTTCGTCGGAGAAGCTATCGGCAATGCTCGTATGGTGGAGTTCGTTAACCGCCCGTCGAATCAGCTTCGTCGGAGACGCTATCGGCAAAGCTCGCGTGCTGGAGCTCGTTAACCGCCGTCGAATTAGCTTCGTCGGAGACGCTATCGGCAAAGCTCGAATGCTGACTAGGGATTTTGTGCTATGGAAGAAGAAGCATTAGAAGATGGAAGCGGGAAGTGGCACTGGACTAGGGATTTGTTTCTTTACATTTGGGATTGAGATTTTTTTTGCCCCGTGAAAAGCTAGAAACAGTAAAACTAGATGAAATGGTTGGTTAATTACTTAATTCCCTAGCAAGGGTTTCTCAACCCCTGAAATATACCGCATCTACGGGAGTTTCAGGAAACACTAACAGGGGTTTCATGAACCCCTGCTACCAAACCCTTGCCATAGACTCATTTTTTTTGTAGTGAAGGGTTTATTGCTCTTAGGTCTTAGGCATGGGTAATCGTAAGGAAGTTTTCTCTTTTTTCTCTCTACCTGAATAAGTTTCGTTTCTTCTTGATCCTTGTAGGTTTCACATAGTTGTCCACCTAGTGACAAAAAATGCTCTTTCATCGGGAGTCTGGTTGCATATGAACTACTATCTTATAAAAAAAAACTCCAATGTTCCCTTTGCCTCTTTCGATTCCACTTATTTAGATCTTAATTTGAGTTATCAATAGGTATGAAAGCATAAAAATTTGATGACCAACACATACAAAATTATTATAGATCTTTTTATTTGCATTATACTGGTACATTATAATTTTTTTTATTTTCAGCCCTCCCCCGTACACTAAAATCCTGGCTTCGTCCTTGGATGATATTATGGAGCCTTGCCATATTGTTGTTATGTGGGTATCATATTTGTTGATAGTATAAAGTCTTATATTTGACCAAAGAAATATGTTGGAAACTGTCATATTTTGATGGCATTATGATATGACAATTCTATATAGCACAATGAATATCATTATGTATATCATAATTAATGTATATTTCCTATGCAAAAAATTTAAATTTCAAGTTAGAACGATGGATATCTCATCCGATTAAATAGGATTTAAATGGTCAAAATTTTCTTCTAAGATTCGTGGCATACAAACGGAGAAATTATAAAAGACGAAGAACTTACCATACTACCCCTCATTATTCCTTATTAATTTTAAGTCATTGGATCATAGGATTGATGGACGACGACTTCAAATTTTGATTTTATTAGAATTTTGTAAATGTTGTTCAACCTTCCTCCAAAAGTGGAAAGCGTAAAAACATTGCCACTCACTAATTAACTTAATTAGCTAACTCTCTCATAACTAATTAGAACACTTGATCTTAGGAAGAGACAACTCATTGACTTTTGTCCTTACGAGCTCTACATGAGTTACGATTAGTTGGAATTTCCTATCAAGGTGGGAGCTTATTAAGAACCGACAAGCAAAAGAAAACAAAGTATATATAGAGAAAGGTTTGGTGGTTACAATTGCTTTTTCCAACCCATCCGTGTTGTTAATGATCTCTATGTGTACTTAACTTTGCCCATTTGCATGCTTGGCTTCTGTAATCAACTAATGTGATATAATGTATATAACATTTATTTTTCAATCCAATTTATTGGCGTCTACTACTTTTTACAATGACAAAAATATCTCTACCGCGTCCTAATAACTTTGAAGATCAATTGGTTTATGACTAAAGCACCTGAAATTAGAGGTTTGTATAGATGTTGAGCGGGCCCAATAAGTATTTGTTTAAAGGGAACATGTAACGGGTCTAGGCAAGTTTTGATGCGATTTGGCCGTGCGTGGAGAGGAAGACCCCTGATCGGAGGGAAGTAAATCTCCGACCGGGGAATGGGAGAGTGGACTGGGGATCAGGGGCAGAGGCACCTCCGGGTGGTGGATTACAATTTTCGATTGGGGATATGCTGGGTCCGATTGGGAATTGGGTCTGGGTGACAGGATTTTGAATTTTTAAGTTATTTTTATTACTTTAATTGTCCAGGCCTATACAAAGGTTGAAACTCAGGTTTTAAGGCTAGTTTTTGGCAGAATGTTGATTTTTATCTTGGTTATGAGCTTTAGACTTGAACTTTTCTCTGTATCAATCAAGTTTTCCCCTTGGTTGTGGTCGAGATTCTATCTTTTATATTGTTAGAGTCTTCTCCCGATTTTCGTATTGAGATTGCACTTTCAATTCCACTATATCCCAAACAAACAAAACCCCTTAAACAATCTCTTTTCTTGTTCGTTCTTGAAGTCGCGCGACTTTGATCAAAAGAACCTAAGCTTTCACAAGCTTGGGATCTTATCAGGTGGCATCAGAGTCTGGTTCAACACAGTGGTGAGATCGAAGGCGAGAGGACATGTTTCTTCTCGTACGAGGTCTAAAGATCCCATAGCACACCGCAGATCAGAAGAGGAATCGTTGTTTTAGGAAGAAATCCCTTTTGAAGAACCCACAATGGCCGAACATCAGGTTAATATGTCACAACTTTTGCAGACCATCATGGAGCAATTGAACACAACCTTCCAAGTTTAATTCGACCAGATTAACAAGCGGCTGGATACTCTTGCACCTCTGAACAACACGGCCCCGCTGGGAGCTCTAGTAGGACTCCATCCAATTTCGGAGGGAGATCGACAGCAGGGCGTTCCGACTGGAACAACCAAGTCCTAGATGAAAGACTTCGCAACCTAGTGCGGAGATTGATCACAACAGAGCCCAATCGAGTGCATGAAGAACACGACATTCGTGATTATGGTGGAAGACCACCTAAGCCGGGACGCGAAGGTGTCATTGCAGAATTACGCGGAATCAAGCTGTGAATTCACTAATTATGCAACCGTATGGTGGAGCAGGTACAACTCAAGAGAAGAAAGAATCAACAGCCAAATATGACAACTTGGATTGAATTGAGAGGGCTCATGAGAGAGAGGTTCATGCCAAAATACTACCAAAGAGAACTCTTTGATTCCTTACAGGGAATTCAACTGGGATCACGATATGTTGAGGAGTATTTCCGGGAGCTTGAACTGCTCTTCATGAGGGCATATGTGAGGGAGGACAAGAAAACAATGATTGCTCGCTTCTTACATGGGCTCAACCAAGAGATCAAGCATAAAGTCAAGCTTCGTCAGTTTGTGGAGCTTGAGAACGTGGTACACCTAGCCATTAAGCTGGAGAAAAAGATGAAGTGAGCTCGGGAAGAAGGTACCCACCTTCGCCCAAACCATTTGCAGAGGGCCTTCCTGAGGCCAATGTGAATCACTCTAGGCCAGAGGGTGACAAGCCAGCGTCTAGAAATACGACCCCCCCCCCCCCCCCCCCCCCCCCTCCCGGGTCATCCAAGGCAGAAATGAAGGATCAACTAGAAGCATCCAACGGTTCAAGTACTTGGGACGAGGTCACAAAGACAACCAGTGCCCCAACAAGAAGGCTATGGTCTTGCGAGATGGGGAATACTTTTATGAGGATGAGTATGAAAAGAAGCCCATGAGGAATGGATTTAGTTCTGACTCTGATTGTGAAGATGATGATGATGTGGATGAGCACATCAAGGCTGTAAAACCTCCAATAGGTAAACTTCTTGGAGTGAACCGCAGAGTTTTATCTATTGAGGCTTAAACAGAGACAGAGTAGAGGGATAATCTTTTCCACCCTCGTTGCCTGGTCGACACAAATGGTGGACAATCCAAAAACATTGAGTTTTCCATTGAACTTAGTTGTGACAAAATACAGCTTGTTAGGTTCATGATTCCACTAAACAAGCTCCAAACAAACACAAGCAACAACTCAAATTTTTTTTCTTACTATATATAGAGGAGTAACACGAGAACTTTTGAAAAAGATCATCCATCTCAATGTTGTTCTTGTCCAAACACGTTCAATTTCAAATTGATAATATACGCGACACCGAGATTTTAACGTGATTTCACTTGAAGGTCAAACATTAGTCCGTGAGAGAGACTTTGTTGTACAAGAGTTCACTAATTTTGACTTGAACCTTTGCACAACAATTACCACAACATATAGGCATAGGCTTGCTCCGACAAACCCTAAGTACAACTCGAATTGGTTAATTACAAAAAGGTACCCAATTTATCAATTTGGTGTTCCAAATCCCATCCTCCAAATGCCAACCTGTAAAATAAAAATTCGTTGTTTGCAGATAATGAAAGCCATTGTAGCCTGTTACTTACTATTACTTGATGGCTTGATCCTCCTCCAAAGTATTACTTGTGATTTCACTGATTTGTGAAGGCAGTTGTTATATATGGATCCCATCTTGGATCTCAGGATCAAATCCCATCTGCAATTAATGTGGAGTTTGATATGCAATATATGTCACCATGAGTTCTTCGCTCTCGACAATAAAATAAGATACCACTACCCTAGGCTAGGCTCTGTAACGAATAGATGGGCAATTAGTCAAGTAATTAATCAGACTAGTGCTATTAATTAGGATTACAACTGAACATGAATCTATGAGTACACTTATCTAATTTAATTCGATCACAATGGGTAAATTGGGTCGGTGTAGGTTCTACTCGTTTTTAAAATTGGCAATTGAGTCGGGTTTGGTTTTTCCAAAATCCAACCCGTTTACTATCTAACTCATATAAAGTAAAACGATATCATTGTATACCTAAGCGGAACAATATGAATAATTAGTAGATGTTCTTGATTTTTATGGCAACGTAGAGCTAACATTATTGATAATTTGTGGATGTTAATAGTTTTTATGTACTTATATTTATAGGCAAAATTTTGATTATGACGTTGGTGTTCGGAGAAATAATTTATAATTATGTTTGTCCCGACTCCTGTGAATACTTGTTGGGTTGGGTTTTCACTTTTAAAACCCAATTCATATTTTTCTGAATTTTTTAATAAGTGTTAACCACAAAATTTAATTTAATCTAACAAAAATCTTAACCAACAGGATCCATTGTCACCCCTATTAATATATTTACTCGATTTACATGTTTACGATGGTCGAGGTATCCCGTTACGTATACTTGTCAGTAGTCTCAAGTTCTCTACCAATAGAATATTGTTTTGCTTTTGGTAATTCTGTTTGGACTTTGGATTAATTTATTAATTAATTTAGTTTAAGCACACAGACGACCCGTTGTAATTAGGAGATCCAATTGTTAATAAACTAGATGGTGTCATCATGCAGGCTGTTTCTTTTTACCGTCCCGTTTCAACGGAGAGATGACAACTTATATATAGTTATATATTGGAGTGGACTATCCAACAAGAGTGGGTTTAATTTATTTGAGAAGCATTCAAGTCGAAAAAAAGAGGAAAGAAGATGGAAGAGAGTTTTCAATCTCGCCGTCAACATTCCTCTGAGTTTTTCCTTCCGAAAATTCGATCAACC